ACGAGATATTGTACTGATATGTATTTTATCGATATTTGAATTTCTACTCAAGTGGGATTCCATGAAACTACCAACAGAACCTATGAATGCATCCTTTACAGAGAACCCTTTCACATGTTTGATGCTAAACTTTAAATAATATGATAAAATTTGCTTCAGATTTGCATAATTTTAATTGATAAAGATCAAAAATACTAGAGGAAATAAGAAACTCAAGTTGTAGTATAATTTTAGACACGTGGACGAAATTTGATTAGATTCGAGACTGAGCTACCTTCGTGCGCTGTAAAGTTCTTCAATTAAATTTCAGAAGACCCCGCTCGACGCTGCATGCTTTCAGCAGATTTTTTCTCGAAAACTTACATCCGGAGTACTCCTGTGCTGGTAAATCATTACAAATCGAACATTGGAACAATATAGATCACCTACACAACATTTCTTGTCGAAGCGATTGTAGAGCAAAATGCCGCTATTGAGTGAAATCTTTCTGGCACAAAACAACGTCCCAGTTCTTGATTAGCAACCAGAAATTCCAGATGTGTCCCCAATTGAGCAATTTTGGGACGAGCTGGACATGAGGGTTAGAAATCGAGCTAACATCCCATAAAATGGGGTCAATGTTAAGCAGAGAAAGATCAGCGACTGAAGCCAAGGATGGGCACACACGTTTCTGATTTGGATGAGGAAACAGCGTAGGGTACCCTTGACTTAACGCTATTTACACAAATGCTGTCTGTGATACGCCAACAAAAAATATCAAAAATATCAAAATGTATTCAGTACTGATGAAAAAATCGAGAAACCCAAAACAATGAACTAATTATCAATTTCATTTCAGAATGTTTTATTGTCTTGATGTTGGTGACAAATGGAATTGGGCAACATTCAGAGCCTATAAAAGCCCTCTCCATACAACTTAAACAAGTACACAGACACATCAATCAAAATTTAAGATATTAAATAATAATGATAGCATTCCAGGAAAAGAATTTAGAATATAGATTCAGTTGAATAATTATCTAACAGAAATGTTAGGCAAGCATTACCATCATTTAAATTATAGTGTTAAAGAATAGTAAGATTAGATAACTAATCATCAATGAATCATGTAAAATAATAACTATGGATTACAAATTATAAATCGAAATATGACAAATTTATGAATGGTTTCGCAGTTTATCAAATTTGTCTCAAGAGAAACTCAGTTCATCACCCTATGAAATCGACAAAAGTAAGATTCTATGATAACCATGACAGCAGTACACCGGGATACATCATTCAGAAAATAACATGTTGAATTTTTACTATGAATGTAACTTGAAGATGTCATGATATGATACAAAAAGGGTTGTTTAAATAGTAATACCAGTTCTCCATGAGAGTTACATGACCTCGTGAGTCATGAACGAAGAAAAGCGCTGTCCTAAGTCCATGCTTCTGCCTCCATTGCGTCAAGGTAGGCAAGGTGTGTCATCTGGCCCATTTAAACCGCTCATTGTTTGATGATTATAGCATACAACCACATTGTAGGTAAATGTGTATTACGTATACAATTGTAGTAATTAATTTACAAGCATTATCGGTAAACAACAACAAACACTATCAACCTTAAGATGTGTACTTATTATTTTAATGGCATAGTTATGATATCGTATTCTTGCCTAAATTATTTTCTTTTCGTATGATTCCTTCGTTTTGAAACTTCAGATATACCACTGTTTGTGACTCCAGATAATCAAACAACTTTGGTTTAATACTCTTTCTTTTTCTTAGGTATTAGGACATACTAGTCGAAAAAATAATGTTATATATGTACTTCATCAAGTCTTATAGACAACAAATAGAGGTATAGGTACTTCATCAAGTCTTACAGACAACAAATAGAGGTATAGGTACTTCATCAAGCATATAGACAACAAATAGGGGTATGGGTACTTCATCAAGTCTTATAGACAACAAATGGAGGTATAGGTACTTCATCAAGTCTTATAGACAATTCGAACAAATAAAGGTATGGGTATTTCATCAAGTCTTTATAGACAAGTCAAACAAACAGAGGTATGGGTATTTCATCAAGTCTTATAGACAACAAATAGAGGTATGGGTACTTCATCAAGTCTTATAGACAACAAATACAGGTATAGGTACTTCATCAAGTCTTATAGACAAGTCGAACAAATAGAGGTATAGGTACTTCATCAAATCTTTTTAAACAAGTCGAACAAAAGGAGGTTTGGGTACTTCATCAAGTCTATATAGACAACAAATAGAGGTACAGGTACTTAATCAAATCTTTATAAACAAGTCGAACAAATAGATGGTATGGGTACTTCATCAATTCTTATAGACAAGTCGTACAAATAGAGGTATAGGTACTTCATCAAATCTTTTTAAACAAGTCGAACAAAAGGAGGTTTGGGTACTTCATCAAATCTTTATAGACAACAAATAGAGGTACAGGTACTTCATCAAATCTTTATAAACAAGTCGAACAAATAGAGGCATAGGTACTTCATCAAGTCTTATAGACAACAAATAGAGGTATTGGTACTTCATCAAGTCTTATAGACAACAAATAGAGGTATGGGTACTTCATCAAGTCTTACAGACAACAAATAGAGGTATAGGTACTTCATCAAGCATATAGACAACAAAGAGAGGTATAGGTACTTCATCAAGCATATAGACAACAAATAGAGGTATGGGTACTTCATCAAGCATATAGACAACAAATAGAGGTATGGGTACTTCATCAAGTCTTATAGACAATTCGAACAAATAGAGGTATGGGTACATCATCAAGTCTTATAGACAACTCGAACAAATAGAGGTATGTTTACTTCATCAAGTCTTTATAAACAAGTCGAACAAATGAAGGTATGGGTACTTCATCAAGTCTTTATAGACAACAAATAGAGGTATAGGTACTTCATCAAGTCTTAAAGACAACTGGAACAAATAGAGGTATGGGTACTTCATCAAGCATATAGACAATTCGAACAAATAGAGGTATGGGTACTTCATCAAGTCTTATAGGCAAGTCATAAAAAGCTATGGGTACTTCATCCAGTCTTATAAAAAAAAAGTATAGGAACTTCATCAGTTTTTATAGACAAATAGAAGGAAAATAAGAAATTGAGATTAAGTCAGATCTTTAATCATGTGAGAGACGAATGATATATGAATAGGTCATCATGGCTAATATTTAGATCTCAGAACGTATAGTAAAATAGGTGACGACAAAGACATGAAGAGAGGTCATCCCTATAAACATGTAGGAGAAGAATAAGACAGGGACTAGTTTGGAATCTTTCTTTAACAAAATAGACGCAAAAAGGGATTGAATCCTTTCTAAGACTGTCCTAAATGTTGTAACGGTCTAACTTCTAGTGTGAAAGTCGTCGGGTTAACTAAGCACTACAGTGATTTTACACTTCTGTATAAAAAAAACTATGAAAACATACCGTTCCTTATTATCTCGTGAATTTCAACATTATTAAATGTAAATCTGTGTAAGTAAGCGTTTTAACAACCCTAACATAAAACTTCAATAAATCGGTTTCGATTCCACCTCTTTGCCATCAATCAGATGGGAATGATATACTTTTCTTTCTCCATAGATGATTAGTATATACAAACGGTATCGTAAACATCCTTGTGGGGTCGATTTGCCACCTAATAGCAAACACATATCACTGATACCGGCCCCCTGTGTTGCTAACTCCACTGACGATTCACGAACGTAACAATTCAAGTATTATTGAAGAAGGTCAAGAGCACAAATTGTAAAATTACACGAGAAAACTCGCGATTTTCTGATAAAGTCTCGGCAAGTGAGTATAAAGTAAATACAGCCATCTCTTGAACCACTGAGTTCTAAGTGTGATTAGCTTCGTGTCGATAAAACGAATTTCATATAGGTGATCAGTCCATAAACTTTAAATTAGTATTAAATAAACAGAGATTACTAACATTCATATCGATGATAGTACATTTATACACAGTATATAAATGTGTTTATATATTATAAATAATAAATATTTAGAGATTACTAACATATATTCCGATGATGGTATATCTATATTATATATAATAAATATGTAGACAATAAAAACATTCATACCGAATCCAGTACATTTTTACACAGTATGTAGATTTAGATGTCGATGTGTTTATATATGATATATGATATATATTTAAATATTACTAATATTCATACCGATGCTAGTACATTTTTACACAGTATATAAATGCGTCCTATATTATATATAACCGGCATCAATTCGAAATAAAACGCAGTCGTCTTGGTTATGACATTTCAATAAACAGGTTTTATTTTCTAAATAAACGCAACATGTGATATTATTAAAGCAGGTATGATAAAGACATTGTGGAGAGAATATAAAATTACTTCTCTAATAAACCAGACTTTTAACGGGTACATTTATCAATGGAATCAGACACACTAGACAACAGATCTAAGTTAAATTGAACCTTTGTTTTGATATATTTATGATTAATCTTTATAATATACTTAGGTGTTCAAGCTTTGTAAAATATAATCTGGTTTCACAACCGATATAATCTTATTTCAGTATCGAATATCACCCCTACATCTGTGAGGTCTCCTTTAAAACTGGTATGATTACAAATAGTGTATCAACCATTGTATAATACAAACGTTGGTTATATATACGTTACAATAAAAGTGATTCTTTATTAGATTAGGAAATATGTGAAATAAACGTTAAAAAATGAAGTCAATAATTTTGTAAGCATATACAAAAGATTAAATGATTTGCAAGATTTTAAAATGATGAAAACTAAGAATGCTTCCGCATACATCAATTTGTCAAAACAAATTACATCCTTTCAACGACAAATATTACAGCAAAATGCTTGTCTCCTCCTGATTAATACATTATTAATACTGCCATGAAATAATTGAAGCCTTTCAATACCTTAGAATTGAAAACTTTCAGACTGCCACGTATATCATGTTAAATATCCTGGAATTTCGGGTGGACTCTTAGATATCTACAAGTTCGTAATTCCTCTATTTCTTCCGGGCCAGGTAGTGTAATCGTCTGTTCTCTCGGAACATAGCCTATCTTAATCTCATCAGAAGTCTGTTTAATTTTCTCCTTTCTCTCTTTTATTTTATCTGCAGTTGTTCTCGCCATTTTCTTCCTGTAAGATCTCGAGGGATCTCGTAGGCCTTTGTGTTCGAAGTAAGAGGTGGCTCGATGTGGATCGCTCCGTCTGAAGAACAATCTTCGTTCTAGATTTCTAACTGATTCCGACACAATAATGTTCTGTCGATGAGCAGATTTGACTAAGTCGTAAAATATCTTCCTGTAATTATTTTCTGTGTTCGTCTGAGTGTAACTCACTTGTAACTTCCGTAATCCTGGTCTTGCAGGCGTTAGATATTCGTTTGCCCTACTGAACGTTTTGCCTTGTCCGTGTAGAAAAGTCTTAGACTTTTCAAGAGTTGGATCATACTTCGAATCTGTCCTTCGTAATTCTTTGTTTGAAGCGCAATGTTTCAGTCTGGTGCTAACATCACTTTGCTTGTCTGATGAGTTAACGTTACACCAATCATTCGAATTATCACAAGAAACTTTTGAGTTCGTTTCATCATGAACAGAAAATGCAGTCATGGATTTGCGTCTTTGCTGATCTCGAAATGTATTCAAACCTGATATTGAATCACAAATAAAACTACATTTTTTCTTGACAAACAGCATAGAATCCGTTGATGATTTTTTGTTGACGGCAGATCTGACTTTTCTCCTGTGATGCCATGCAGTATCTGCTGGGGGTCGTGAGCACACATTTGAGAGGGAGGTTACACACCTAAGAAGGTCTAGTCTGTCTTCAGACGCACTCGATCCAGAGGATATCCCACTCGTAATACTTTCCAAGGAAACGGCCTCAATAGCACAGACAATATTTCTAATCTGTACATCAGTATCTGAAACCAGACGTTCATCACCACTGTCATTTAAGCAGGCAGCGTCTAAGTCACTAATATCGTCACAGCAGCCTGAATCGGGTGTATGTCCTTTGGACATTGTTGCATCTTCTTCACTTGTCAATGAAAACTTCCTTTGAGTTGGAGGCAATCGAGACCTTTGGGCTTCCAAACCGTCAGATGAACAGTCTAGCGACATTATGTTATCGCCTTTAAAGAGGCATATCTTGTCTGGTCTGTACTTGTGAAAATTGTTGTTCCTTGTAATAGATTGGTGTTAGGTGTTTGTCCCATTAGTCACCTTTACCTCCCCAAATGACAAGCCACGGTCGTGGATCTCTTTCTTATGTCCCAGTATTGCAACGATAGACACAGGTGTTTGACAGAATAATGAGATAGGTGACATCATAAATAAGAACTAGTATTCAATTTATAGGCATGTTCTTAACCTGTTTCCTGTTCCGTAGACATGCGAAATCAAACGATATGATAATCTCTATATAAGACGACTTATATTTACGATTAGCTACCCAGCAGTTCTCATAAGATCATAAAACTGCCACCCGAATGTAGGCGGATATTTTACGAGGTGTATTCAGCTATATTGAAGCATCACGGCTACTGAACATCTCCGCGATTTGTTTGTCTTTCGTAGGCAAGAGCCCCATTAATTGGTTTTCAACAACTCTCATCTAACCCGCTGGCGACTCGGCAAGAATTGTCGCATGTAGCACCAGTAACCAACGAAAGGCAATGAGCATGCTGTTTTTGTTGACTTGTTATCAGAAATACGTTTAATCGGTTCGTGATATTAGAGCTTTATTGCTATAGCTCTTGAAAGCGCGTCAGAGAAAGGCAGTATTCTCTAGAGAAACGTGATCGATCTAGAAGGTTACAGTTGGAGGAAATTAAAACCATGTTCCAGAAGAAATAAGCCGCAAGACAGTGTCCGACTCCGGTCTGTAATGGAGTATTCTAATCCAATTCGATATCCAATAGGAAGTGTGTGATTAAGATTTTTAAATTTTACTATTCTGTACCTATTTGATGGAGAAGTAATCATGGGTTTTAGTGCGGTCCTATTTCAGCCAACTGCACTACTTAATTTAAATGGATCAGCATTAATTTTTTTCTTATTGTAGAATTAATAACACTGAAATCAAATAAAATCTCAAATGTGGTCGTAACATTACTTTCATTTGATGGAATTTAGATCTGAAGACAAATATATAGATAGATAACAATAATATTACATATACACAACAACACATTATAATAAAACACAACAATCACAACAAAACCCTACAACACAACACAACAAACACAACACAGCAATACAACACAATACCACAACACAACACTACAACACAATACATTCCCATACCATAGAAGAATTCCTTAAAATTACGTAGACACGATGAATGCTTTGAAGAATCATTTATAAAGGTGTATGATCAGAATCATCGTGCGCATGCGCTTTCTTGCAGGCAGGGGTTTTCTCATGTAATACTGGACTGTGTATTCTAGACTGGTAGTTGTAAAGATTCAAGTTTAAAAAATGTATGTGTTCCCAGGAACAACAGTTTTCTTAACTACGTAATATAAGAGGGCGGTAGAAAAGCGTGATCTATAAAAAGTCAGATGTGACTTACTTATTCTTCGAAATGATAGGAAAATTGCAATAAATTGACGTGATCTTGAAAGTATGCCAAAGAAATCTTAGTATGTATGGATTCCATTTAAAACAATCATTCTGCGCAACAGGAAACTGCACTGATTTCATCAGTTGACATGAAAGTGTCCGCCTCCATGATGTAACGCACACTTGTCCGACCCCTGTCTAGACTCTAATTTATCAATGCATCAACAGGTCTGTTACACTATAAGGCGTGACGTAAAGGGATTAATCCAACTACGATCTATATCAGCCATCCAACATCCGTATTGAATCTATTTATATATTTAACGAAGATTGCAATACATCGACCGCATAATAACCACTCAACGTGTAACATTTTTCAAACTAATAGCTGAAATACATGGTATGAGGTAAACGCGGTCGGTATAAATGTTCTTTAACGATAGATAGAAATAAGAATAAACGTTAAAATACTTAATATGCCATAAAAGCTATGTAGAACCAGGACGTGACACCGTAAATCACATAGGCAAAGGAATAATATACGTTGTTGAGAAGTGTGTTAGGTGGAGGTATCGCCTCATAAACAACCAGGGTCATTTCGAACGAATGAATGAATGAAAGAACAGTTAATTGTTAAAATGTTATTTGTGATAAATTTCTGGAGTGATATCATTTAGGTAATCATTTCCTTAACAAAACCGTTTTGTAAGATAACATCATCGAAAATACTGGAGGTAACCGCTATTTTCTAATTCCTTGCGATTTATTTCCATTTGACTTGATGTCCGGGTTTCTGCTCTTCGACGCTTCCGGCCCCCGTGCACCACAAGGGAGAAATTGGAAGAGCGTAAGTCCAGTACACCCAACGTCTCGGTTGTGATTAGTTTAAAAAAAAATTTTTTATGTATATTGCAATAAGATAATATATGATACAATCAATGAACGGATTCAGAAACAAGTACTTATGTAAATATGTCCCCTTATTGATAGAATAGCTATGGAACAGTATTGAGAATAATACATATCACGTGTCCAAGGAAAAGGGAGATAAATGGTGCAAGGGTTTAGAGGAAGGTGTTGCTGGAGGTTATTCTGCAATACTGGAACAAACGATGATTGCATGACATTTGGGCTACACATGTTGTGGAAAGTGGTACATTATACAAACAATACTGCGGGTACAATTCCAAATTGACACAACAGAGCTATAGACATCAGTTTTTTCTGACGCAATATGTAGAACAATATGATATAGCTGTAGTAACTACCACGATAATAAACAGTTTTTCAATTTTAATTTAACTGACTGATAAAGTTTTGTACTCAATCAAAAATAGTTTTATTACACTGAACATACGTTTTGACGGAGAATTATACCCCTATCCTGATCAGTTTGACAGTAATAACAATTACACTGAACTGACATGTCTGGACTTCCATGTAGTAAGGTATTAACATTATAGTTAGGAAGAAGGTTTCTTAAACATTCATTTTGTAGCTGCTGATAGTTAGGACAATGGAGGAGGAAATGTTCGGTAGTTTCAGCAGACCGATCACTTGCAAACATAGGGTTGTCAATAAAGTTTGGTGAGTACAGATGACTAGTCGCGCATGATGGGTGTGATTCCGAGCGAAGCCAATAAAAAATAATAACTTCTGTTATATTGGTGCACATGCCCTTAAGTGTTTAACGTTTCGACTCAAAAGCTTGTTTGTTTCGCTGTACCATTTAGAAACTCGAGGACGAATGCTTTTCGTGAAAGACTGGATAGGGTATCTTTTTTTTAATGTCTTGTTTGTCTGTGTCGCGTTTGCAAGTGACACAAACTGAAATATACCCGACACAGACAGAAATGAAAAGTTTTATCACACGAGACACTAAAGACAATTGAATTTTCAAAATCAAATAAATTCAAAATATTTACTAAAAGGTACATTTAAGTAGCGATGCTATATGTAAGGTAACACAGAATTATTTGATTTCTACTAATCACGATGACTATAGTCACAGGGATTTGGTACGAATTCTCGATCCACGGTCCATTATGATACATTTATGGACTGTGAGTCGAAAATCCATGCCGAATCCTTGTGACTTTGCATCAAATTCCTGTGGCTATACGGTAACGGTTTCGGGTAGATGTATCTAAGAAGATATGTCGATACTATTTTTCTGCCTTATCACACATACAAAACACAATACTTGGAAATCATTTACAAACATCACAGCCAGCAGTGTTTTCTAATCTACCAGCACTTATACCAACAGCCCTATATATTAGTTACAACTTCAACTGTAGATAAATGCTCACTTTATTTTTGTTCACACATCAGTCATGACTGTTATGGCAACTTTCAGTTTCACTGCGCGGTAAGAGGTCCCGGTCAAGGTTGAAAATGAAACATAATTACCTGTGTCATAATCAAACATATTACTCATGACCATGGCAATTGTATGTATGTAGATCGAGATTTGCATTTTTTCAGCTGAAAGTAAGTAAAACTAAAAAGCGGCAAAAGGATAATTCCGGCAGATTTATTTTATAAAACCAAAATGGTTGTTATATTTGGCCTCATTTCATCTTTCTTTTTTTGTTTGTTTATTCAGTCAAAGGCATAATAAAATTACACATTACAAATATTACATAAGCAATTCCATAACAATTAAAATCAGTAATAAATTATTGTGGATTTCTTAAAATTATTAATTATAAAATATAAGATATCACAGAAGAATTTCACATACCTTAAAATATCACAGTTTAAACTAGTATCGCAGAAATTAAATTACACTGTGCTTGCAAATCTTCTAAGTAAAATAGTTGAAAATTTAGAAATATCAATAAAAAAGAGAGAAATTTGATAAAACCAGATGAAAATGCCTTTGGCCTTGGATTACCCATAAAGCCTATAAAATAGGCTTATTTCCAATGGGGTCCATTTAAGGTGTAATCCTTCCGGTTGGGATGTAAAGCCATGGAAATGAGATTAAATTAATTTTCTTTATTTAATTTTCATTAACTATAAATGAAACAGAGCACTACATTTGAAAGAAAATTACATTTACATAGAAGATATGAAAACAAATACTGAAAGTGAATAAAATGTTTTGGCACATTTCAGGGCATTTATGAAAAAGGATGGGATTTGAAGAGGTATTACATAATCTTTTATCTTTTTTTCAGACCAAATTAATCCCCACTTGTCTCTGGAGAGCGCAAGCCTAGATGAAGTTATCGTTCTTGCATTTAACTCTTTTGTGATAAAGATAAAAATGTTACTTGACCGTAAACAAAATAAACCGGGAAAAGCTCTGAAAGCTGGTTAGGCAAGGATCGTTCTTTCAGATATATGGCATGATAACTTAGGCCTATTGGTGGACGACTTTCTTAATAAGTATTCCATTTACTTAGAAATAACATGGCACCACTGACTTTGCTGTCTCATATCAGACGGACATTCTCTACAACCAGTTTACAACCAGGCAGTAAAGCTTCGTTGACGAAAGTTTTCACAGCAGCTGAAGTACAAACCTTCTCTGAGATAAGTCAGGACAAAAATCCTATTCACATCGATCCAGAATATGCTGCAAGTACCCGATTCGGAAAATGTATTGTCCACGGCGTCTTGCTTAACGGGTATGCATTACCAGTGATTACTCTAACCAAAAGGAATTCGTAGTCGACGCTCAACCGAGACAGACTCATTTTCCCCTATTTTTTCCTCTGTTACAATATTGTTCTGATATTACTTCAATACTTTATTTATGGCTGGTTCGCCCATTTTTTTTATTTATTTATAGAAATACCCAATTAACAGTATGTAAAATATACTGTACATACATGTATACATATTGATCAAGATATGTTAAAAGTTGATGACATTATAATATTACAGTCACCATTTATGGAATGAGACAAGTTTTCTTTACTTCTCCACCTGTTAGTTTAAAGGTTAAACAGGAATAACAACAATAATTATTTTGCTCAGATGTAACTTTGAATGAAATGACACTCTTATTATTGTTGTGTAAGAAAACAACACCTGGAAAATACCGAACGTTGCCTTGAGTTATTATGAATATGTATTTATGTTGAGATAGTTAGCCTGCTGCTTCAACTGATATTGACCAACACTTACTTTAATTTATTGTATAGTTTGCTGTCGGCTGCGTGCTCAACCAAGCTACCAGGACCGGGTGCTGTATACCTATCTCAGGAACTAAGATTTGTGGCCCCAGGTAAAGTTAGATATACATTAGTACCAGTGGAAACATGTTGTACATTTTGGGATTGTCCTCAGAAATCTGGTTTCTGAATTTGTCTACACACTGTGTTTCTTATTTTAAAGGAAGTAAAACCATCAAAAAAGTAAATGAAAAGAGGGTATTGTTATTCCATCTTTTTTTTCTTTATTCTGTATATGTGAACAGATATTTAACCTGTCAATATCACAGGACAGTCAAACTGTGCTGCAAAACAGAGAGAGAGAGAAAGCAAATCTTGTCCCATAAAAAAATTAAATGTTTGATTAACTATGCATATGAAGATAATGCTTTGTTCTATCATAGGAAGCATTCAATAACCAAAGAGGAATTACATTACATGCTGTCCTTGCAAATGGTGACATAGCAAAATATTTGTTTCATTCTAAAATATCACAGTAATTAAATTGTGTTGAAATTGAATCATCACTTCAGAAAGCTTATTAGTCCTTAATCAATGTATAGGCTATAATTTTCTCCCTGTTATGCTGTCCATCCCTGCGTCTATGAAAGATAGTCAGCACTATAGCAGCTTCATTCTGTGACAGTGAGAGATTTTCATCAAGCTTTACAAACTTACGAAGATGGACATTTCTTGGGCAGTTTTGACTTTCAGGGTCATTGCATCAAGGTAAAGATCGCTCAATGTTTTTTTAAAATATCATTGTCAGTGCTCTAGCATATAGGGTCTGGTAAAGGACAAATAATGCTTCAGGAATACACAGTATGCTTATTATAACTATGTCACAGAAGGCAGAATTGGGTAATTATTTTGACATACAATTTATGGTGAATTTCAGATGACACCATGTTTAACCATTTTCAATTTTTTAACAAAAAGAAAATATGGGAGAAATATTAACTATTAAAGTGTAAAGTGTAACAGGTGGTTTTTGAAGACATTACTCTCATGTCACGATAAGTCTGACACTGTCAATATCACACAAGAGTTGTCACTGTGAAGTGTATTGTCTTAATTTGATACATTTGTTGAGTTGAATGGTTCAATATATGTATATTCATCAATGGATGACAGTACCCAGGGTCACACCTTGGAATATCATCCACCATGAATAAAAAAATAATTAAAAGGTTTGAATGAGATTTTTGATAATATAAGTTTGATTTTACTGAAATTGCAGATTTTACATGTTTTACAAATATTTACAAATTGGTAATTTCAAATTAATTTCACACATAAAATCAACAAGAAATACCAGAGCAAATCAATGTAAATATTTCCCTCCTGTAGGCTTGTTAGCAAATCAGCTTCCAGATATTCAAAGTACAAAAATATTAGTAGTATATCTTGTTAACATTCTGGGCTATAGAGTGACTTATTAACTCAACAACTAAGTTCAAGTCGTGTATAGATATGCTAGATTTTGTATCAGCTAAATTATATTGTTTTAGACGAAAAGGGAGGATAGCCACACAAACTACAGTCTTTTCTTAAGGTAATGATATGCTTTTGTGACTTACTTTAATGCTACCGATGATCGGATATTTATTTACAACTTACTTTAATGCTACCGATGATCGGATATTTATTTACAACATAGTACAGTTGTAATATTATCCAAGGATATTAGACAATACTAATGTACTATGTAATTGAAATATAGGCAATCTAGTATGTACCTCATAATTATGTTAAAGTGCAGATGTTACACCAATTAGGGATAATAGACATCCTTAGTATGTACCAACCAGTCCTAATGCTACATCATCCTAGGATACTAGACACCCTATGTATGTACCACACAGTCTAATGTCACATCATCCTTGGATACTAGACACCTTGTATATGTCTTGGGATACTAGACACCCTATGTATGTACCACACAGTCTAATGTCACATCATCCTGGGATACTAGACACCCTATGTATGTACTATCTAGTCTTATGTCACATCATCCTGGGATACTAGACACCCTATGTATGTACCATCTAGTCTTATGTCACATCATCCTGGGATACTAGACACCCTATGTATGTACCATCTAGTCTATATCACATTATCCTGGGATACTAGACACCCTATGTATGTACCATCTAGTCTTATGTCACATCATCCTGGGATACCAGACACCCTATGTATGTACTATCTAGTCTTATGTCACATCATCCTGGGATACTAGACACCCTATGTATGTACCACACAGTCTAATGTCACATCATCCTGGGATACTAGACACCCTATGTATGTACCATCTAGTCTTATGTCACATCATCCTGGGATACTAGACACCCTATGTATGTACCACCTAGTCTAATGTCACATCATCCTGGGATACTAGACACCCTATGTATGTACCACACAGTCTAATGTCACATCATCCTGGGATACTAGACACCCTATGTATGTACCATCTAGTCTGATGTCACATTATCCTGGGATACTAGACACCTTGTATATATACAACATCAAAATGTAATATTATCTGTTAATGTTAAAACCGTCATCAATTATTACATCAATGCCTTTGTGTTTTTTCTTACTTTTCTTTATATCTAGATATTTTGACTTAAAGGTGATCCCCATTCTTTTTTTTACCTACTTAACTTGTGGAGTCATTTATACCTTTTTTGTACATTTTAACATTTTTCTAACATGCATCGTTTGTTTGTGGCATTCTTTTATTTTCATTTTTATGTTTTGATTCGAATTGAGAAATCATAAGAAACAAGCTGTTTATTTATCCTTTTTATTGAATGCATTATTAAAACTTTCATGGGATGGTCAATGCCTTTCACAATGAAATGCTGCATTGCAAAATTTCCAGCTGAGTTGATGATGTGTATATATACATGTTCCTGAAGAAATGTGTTAATTCTATGTACATTTCATTTACACATGATTAAGCAAACACATTTCTATAGAAGACGCCTTTGTATCACTTGTTGTGTGTTTACTCAGGATCAATATTTACAAACGGTCGTGATAAACGCATGTGTCAGGTTATTAAGTTCAGTTTCTATAGATCGGACAATTTAGTGTTTACCATTACGCATTACTATCAACGATCATTTAGAGTTCATCACTATGGCCACGCCCACTTTATAATATGTCATAGCAGTCATTGATCTCTCAACGATTCCCCGATATCAACAGGAAATTGTTTTGTTACAGGTGACAGCCCTAATGCATACTTACCCGTAAATACCATTCGTCTGGCACAAAAATAGCTCATCGAAAATACCTGGATTATTGGCAATCGATCGCATCGTTTATTGGTATTTTACCGAAAATTACAGGTCTTTTTACGCATTTAGATCTTTTTGTGGATATTTAAAGGGTTGTGATAACGGAAAAGAAATTAAATAAATAATTATGAAACAGAAAAATAAAATACATTTTCGAAAGGACAAGCAAAAGTGACTTTAATGTTTCATTATCACGAATCAATACAAAAGAAAATTGTACGAAATTGCCCCCCCTCCCCCCCACCACACCAGCGATTCATGCATTCTCCCAGATTTTTAACGTTTAACGTTTAAATATCTGCTTTTTACTGTTTACAAGTTCTAGTGGGATGAAAAAGGGTTACGTCGAGTAGAGTGTTCAATATTTTAACTTTTAATAGATTAATCCATACAGAACAAGCTGCAAAATCAACGATTTTTATCTGGTAAGTGATTTAGGAGTAATTGTAGGGAATTGAAAGAGAACTGTGTAAACTGAAATCGAAATGGACTTATTGTGTGGCTGGCTAGTTAGTACCGGGTATGTCCCCCATTCGCTCTCTCCACATCCCTGGTTATCCTAGGCATGGAGTTCATGAGTGAGTTTATCCTCCTCACTGGGATGGTCCATTCTTCACAGAGGGCTGCTCTCTGTTCTGTCAGAATAATAGGGGAAAGCTGGCGTCGTCGAACCTGTTTATCCAGCTGGTCCTACAAGTGCTAAATAAGGGATAGGTCGGGGCTGTATGGTGGCCAGTCCAGTAGGTGGATATTGTTGTTAGTGAGAAAGTCGCGACATTCCTGCTGGAATTAGAGGTTGTTTTGCTGCAACAATGGAACAACGTGGGATCGAAGGATTTCATCTCTATATCTAGCTGTGAATTAACTCTATGTGAGATTCCTCCCCACACCATAACCGATCCACCCCAAACCTATCCGTCTCTACTACGCAGCAGTCGGCAAAACGTTCTTCACGACGTCGGTATACACGACCGTCTGCTTGAAACAGGGTGAACCGGGACTCATTAGTAACAAGACCCGCTTCCACTGCCTCAGTGGGAAGATTCTGGGGGCATGTACCGCCACCCAAGTCATACGACGCTGGCGACGAGCAGTGGTAAGGGGGCAGACCTACAAACGGGTGACGTTCCCGCAGACAGCCTACTTCCCGCAATCGTTTCTTTACAGTTCTTGCATGGATAGGACGATTATGAGTACCTGTGTTATGAAGGACAGATTCAGTGGCAGTAAGGTGACGATTGCGCAAATGCACAAGACGAATTAATACGATATGTTACCTGTAACTGAAAGGGGTCGGGGTATCTCAGTCGAGGCTAAGGTAACATCCTAACCTCAGCTAACGCCTCTGTTGGGATTATGTTATAGGATCTTAGCCCTTGACTGAGATACCCCGATATTGTTCAGTTACGGGTAATAGTAACAGATTTTTTTCTCGCACCAAATACTTTGAAAATTATTCAATATTTCATCAGAGTTTGGCGTCACAAACTACCCACACAGCCTCTTCACTTTTAAACAGCGTTTGGTTAGTGACGCGTAAATAACGTAGGTCGCACTTACAAACAATACAACACATTTTCTATTTCATTTTAAATATGATTAATTAAATAGAATTGCACGAGTGTAAGTGCCACATATGCCTACACGCAGATGAATACATCGATGCATAAACAAAATCGGCGAAAACGCACGCAAGGGTACTAGACAAGTCGGACGAGAAAGAAAAAAATAGGATTAGGTGTTACATGGGATATCCCTGTCTGGTGTGTGAGAAAAATCTGTCCTGACGTTGTGACGTCACATGCGGACACCTAGACCTAGATCTGTCAGCAACCCGCCCAGTTTCCTTAGACGTCTACCAACACGTTCTATAGGGCAAGTATAGACACCGAAATGTCTGACAACCTGTATTTGCCTTTGACCTTGTATAATCATCGCAATGGCCTGACCCTTCTGAACTTCCGTAAGCTGTGCCATTGTTTAATGCTATCAGAAATTAATCAAAATATCGGGAAATGATGTGTCTCTGTGAAGTCTACCTAATGGTATGACGAGCAGTGTAACTCAATGTCACAACACCGCCACGCAATACAATAATGCAACATTCGGTACAGGATCACGTGGACTGTAACCTAGAGAGTTGCTCGACCGATTTCCATTGTTTTTGAACAACGTGTTCACAAGATATTGCAAATAATGTCACCCCGTGTTTCTTTATCCCTTGAGTTTATTAGCTACTAGCCATATTGCCTACCTCCAGAGTTGTTGATTAATATCGCATCCACAAGCTGATCACTCTCATAGCTGATACGCTTAAATAATCACTTCTCATCCCCTGATAGCGAAGAAATGCTTTTAGTAAGTCTTTATTCAGGGAAACGCCTATAAGTTTTATTTCACAACATTTCTGTATTTTTATTAGCTTTCCTAGGTGAGTCTGTGACAGCTGAAGTTGAAGTAATGAATATAGAAAGACTGGTTATGACTTTATCAACGATCGTTCGAGAAACCGATACCCGGAAGGTAGGTAAATTGTTTTATCTTCATAATGGAAATTGACGTGAATATCACTTAATGACGATATTTGTGAATAAGGTCATTCATCCCAGTGAACTTTGCTAGATGCTTAAATCCGTATACAGGATTACATTAAATGTAGAGGGGCTTACAAAATGTGATGGCATACTATGCTCATTTTAATGTTGAAATAACAGAATATGGACACACATACTATGATTATTACAGTGATAAAAATCCTTTTGTTAAGGATTTTGTCAGGAGGGAATATTTCGAGATGTCACTTTTTGCGTTTTCCTTGAAAGTTTGCGTTAAGCGTCCAACAATCGTAAGGTGTCTCGATAGTGAGAGTATTGATTGATTTTGGTAGATGTGTTTGTAGTAGACTAGATATCGTGTGGATTCATACTGAATATCGAGCAGATTTCACCGATATGTGAAATAAGTCCTTCATTTCTTTTTCATGTGTTAACATACCGCGAATTCGTCAAATGTGACAAGTTTTTAACAAATATCCTTTACACTAGTTACTTCTGTTGTAAACTGGTATTACTACTTATATAGAGATAGATAATATCTTACATGGTAATGTTCACATTCGTAATATAAATACAAAAATACCTGATATCGTCTGTATGAATTCATATTCCCTAACTCGATAACGTTCTGTTTCGTACAGGTGTTGTTGGAAGGATCAGCCAAGCTCATGATACCGAAACATTTAGCTAGGGGGAGGTAACTCTTGTGAACTTGACTGTCCGACTTTTCCTTCTGGTGCAACTATCGTGTTCCTTTCGGAATCAGACGTGGGATATCTAGGATTGATTTTAGTAAATTCATTAGACAAACCATCGAAAATTGTAATATTTTGTTTTTGTTGAATATATTCAACTAGTTTTAAAGACATGAATAAATGGTGAAATATTCCCTCCAGGAGTACTTAATTATAGAACCCTGCATGCCAAGTTTTAATTCATATGAATAGTACCACGATTCAAAAGATACTAATGCATTTATTGATAAGATAAGTCCGATAAGCTGAAAAAGCAGGTTACCTGTATCATTACGATGTTTCTTCCTCTTCATGTAATGATAAGATTTAATATTGATTCCTCTTACCCTTCTGTGGAATCTGTTTGATGGAGATTTAATCAATATTTTGATTTCCTTGACTCGTCCTCTTTATTCCGACACTGTATGGGGAAAGTTGATTTGTTATTTGGCCTAGATGTTAACATTAAAATATCTCTTTCAGGAACAATAGAATGTTGTCCACGCACCAGTTGTACTCCTATGGTTACGACACTAAATGGGTGGTAGCACAGGCCATGTGGACCTTTTTAAGTTTTTAATCCGATTTCATGGGCAGTCACTCAAGTGCTCAAATACCGCCCACTTTTATTTAATGTTGTATACGGTAAAATTCCATTGTTCTTGAAAGAGATTCTTTGTATGGCATTGTGCTATTCACTGATTAGACTTTAGTACATTTGTACAGAAGCAATCGACTTTTGACAACCATTAAGTATCCACGACATATGAAAGATTCGATCTTTCGTTTCATTAAAATGTTAATATTATAGTTTGAATGTGTTTAGTATGAGGAGTTTGTGAATGTTATTGATTGTTTTATCAAAAGATAAATATGTGTGAATAAATGTTTGTTTATAAAAGTTTTATTGAAATTGTGCTTAGTTGTTATTTGTTATGACAGGATTCTATCGTTTTCCTAATGTTTTGCACTGTACGTTATTCCAAATGTCTGAAGGTAAGATACTGTTGATACTGTGTCCTGATATGGTTCACTTTATGATGGAAGGTCTGATATTAGCTACCGTTTTCCTGCTCGTCACATCCTCACGTTTCTCGTCGAGATTAGAATCAGTTGAGTTTTCCTGTCGATGTACCTCGTGGTTAGCGCGTTAGTGCAATGTATCTTTCTTGCCTTTTTTCTACGTACTGAGTGGGGCAATTGTATTGATGGTTTTTGTGGGTTTTTTTTTTGTTTTTGTTTTTTTTTTACTGTTTTAACTTTTGATCTCTTGTCTTAATGTGGCAACATTGTCAATATGGATACCTTTCTCAAACATGAAATCAATTTCTTGGTAATTATAATTAGTTTATGCGAATAAAAGGCCTTTTCATGGTTGATGGTTTATTTTTCTATACTAAGGATACCCATATAAAGGTCTCTTTATTACTCTGATATTTTTTACACGATTGCCTTGTACAGAAATCTCCCTTTTTTACATCGGCGCACATGTAGGAACTCGGAAACAATACTTAGCATTGTCCCACAAACATCGCTGTAACTCCAGGAAGCTCGAGGACAAGTTAGTTCATGGAGAGGAAGTATGTAACCCTGCTAAATACTAGCCGCAATATACCGCTTGGCTAGAGAGAACTCTTCAAATCGATCGGTTGAGCGTCATACTAGTCAGCCTGGAGTCCCGTGTTCGAATCCTAGCGCAGGCATTGGAACGAATGACCTCTGTTACTTTGTTTCAGCAAATGTAAAATAAATGCAGTGTGTCTTCGCGTATCCGCACTAACACATGTCACGACCTACCCCAACATTTTCTCGTTTCGTACACTAACAATCTCCTCATCAATATATTTTGTCTCTGCTCATTGCTTTTCCTAACATATTTTCTTACCAATAGGCTTCATAATTTGAAAGTGCCATCTGATGTGAAGACAATGTTAAGCATCATTTGGTATTTGAAATCTACACCATGTTTTAGATTTAACAAGCACTGTTTTCCGAACCATGAATTTAGGGTTGACGAAACCACTTAACCCTGTAATAGAAACATCAACTTGAAATCACTTTTCTAAATTTTAACTTTATCCATAAAACGAAATTTAAAATTTATGTGATTTTAACAGGTTGACATGTTACTGTTATGACATTTTATTGAGTCTTATACAGTGAAGCATGGTCTTTGTCATGTATTGACATTAATTAGTTTTACAGTACATCTGAGGAATCGCTTTTATATGACATTTGTTCATGAATTACTGCCAAAAGTCCATTTTTTATCTTTTTAGTATAATTGATTTATTGTTAAATAAGTATTTGATGCAATCGTTTATGATTATGGTTGGTCAAAGTAGATAATAAAACAATGTCAAGATATGTTTGGCAATACTTTTAATATTTTTTTGTTTCGCTGCCATTTATAGAACATTTATAGTAAACAATTCTAATAACACTAAAATATAACATTTTTAGTAAGATGAAAAAAATGTGTCTGTCACGTGATAGTGATGCTTCATATATACACACTAATTAAAAAGTCAGGTCCGTCGTCACATGATGGCAAGGTCACGTGGCCCTAGATAATAGTCATGGTCGTCGTCGGTCACGTGATAGTGACGATCCATGACCACTAAGGATAGAGTCATGCCCGGTTAATGTTATGTGTTGGTAATAATCCATTACCACTTTACAAAGAGGCATGTCCGTTATTTGTCACGTGATAACGATACTCCACGACCACTGAGGCTGAGTCGTATCCATTGTCGTCACGTGATGGAGATGATCTATGGTCAAAAGATATAGTCATGTCCGTTGTCTGTCACGTGATGATGGCATGTACACATAGCAATAAAGGGCAACGTTATTTACAAAAGCGAAAATACTGATAATGCAAAAAAATATTTCACGAAGTTTCCTTATTATGAATGCCATTCGGACCTATGAGCTAATAAAGAAGAAATGATGTTCCTCATCTCGGTACCATAGGATGAAGTGACTCGTGATCAGCTCTAACTGCAGATTTCGATCTGTACTTTTCATGATTCACATGAAACCTTTTGAGCGAGTTTAGTATCGAAGAGTATGCCCTAGGTAGTTTTAAGTATGAGGTATATCTGATAAGAAAATGATTGTCATTGTTATATATGTTTGATAAATATTTGTGATTGTTGATGCAACGAGATACCGTCAACATGGGCTATCTCCTTTTGTTTAATCAATATGTGACAGTGTTAGACATGTATATCAATAGTATTTCACCTTTAAGATGGAATGAATCGCCATTTTTATCTTTAAAAAATATTTACAACAAATATTGCATTGACGCAATATACCCGTCTTCCTGTCTCCTTTTCATATTACGAACTTGCGTAATGAGAGAGAAAAAATGTTAAATGTAAAACCGTACCCTAAAAATATACAAGTACAGTACGCATAAATGTCTTGTCAACTGCACCACATAATCCAAGTGACTACATATTCACGGACCAGAGAGACTTACTGGTCTACATACGGGAACCACAGTCTACTGAAGCAGTGATACGTAGTTCATTATACGTAGCATCATGTCCACACACGTTCTGTAAGATATACCGACCATCTCCGTTGTTATCAAATGTTATATATAACCGTTAGATTTGATGCGATAGAATCAGAAGTTTTTGGCCTGCTTAACCTCCCAAAGGAATTCTTTATTTCTGGGGTTTTCTTCACATTCCTGAACGTTGTTTGGAGGAATGATCTCGTTGTATCTGTAACACACAAAACAAGACCATGAAAAATGAATGACTTACGCTTTCTATACAGCGTTGTTCGAAGAAAAATTCGCATAAATAGATACCTTCTTATATGCTAAACTGGATAAATGGCAAAGTTTTATGCTAAATCGGGAAAAATTGAACTTGTCAAGTAAGTTTTATCATTAGGGAGAATAAGGAATTGTTCAGCTGATACCAAGACCATTAGCATCATTTAAGATTACCGGCATGTACCGGTACCACCAGTGTTACCGCCAGTTTTGTCATTGGCACGCTTCTCGGATAAGTAAATGAAACAATACTTATCAGAACCTCCCGATCTTTAGTTTATACACATGTACTTAACGTTGTTGTGAAATTATCTGATATTTAAACATTACGAAATTTCTTGAGTTATTGGACTAGAACACCTCCCCGTCTACATTTTGACTTTTCTTTTGATAACTTTTGATTTTCCTAAGCAGCCTCCGAGGCTTCACAAGTTTGGCCCTTAGCATCACTCACGTGTCGTAGAAGGACGAAACAGATATATGATGCAATTTAATTCATTGTTTGGTTCTACTGTATCTGACTACAAATTTCTATTAAAATGTGCTTTTCACTTGGGTGTCCTTTCTTCAACTTTCTACAACTCACCGAGTCCAGTCTCCTTTACATATAATCCATGGACTAATATCTACTTTTTGATGGAGCTCTGGCGAGATCTCGGGGCTGATGAGATTTGGTGTTCCCGCGCTTTTACCTCTGGTGATGAGTCTAGTTGCGGAATCATAACAACAGTGCTGTGCCGCTAGTGTGTCTGTACCGGGAATTAGTTTAGACCGGATGCAGTGTTGTGCCGCAGGTTTGTAGGTGGCCAGGGCCTCTTCTTCACTACTGGCGTCCAGCCACAAGTAGTGCTGTTTCTTCTGGTCGTCCCAAACCTTCTCGTTATAGGACAGGTGGAGAGGGTATGTACAGGGACAAGATGGCAGGTCGGTCTTCTTGAAGTATTCGGTGATCACCTCTCTGTTGCAATCCATCCACTCGCCACAGTTGTCAACATCTGTAGTATTATAAGTTATGTTCCCGTAATGAGTGGCAATAAATGTATCAAATATTATCAAAGCAAAAATATGCTGGAAAAGACGGACCACAGAACTCTAGGTGATAAAACAGAGGATTACATACGTTACCAATAACGTCACGCAACAAGTATATCTTAATAAATAGACAATCATGTGGAACATATTGAATAAGTTATTCCTCACCAAGCAATTCACCGCCTATTACTGAAATTGCGTAATTAACAAATATAATAATAAGGTAATGTTTTATTAGAAATGAAAGATGTCAATTTAATAAGCCTCGTTAATGTTTTAAGTAAAAATATTATGTTTTTTGTCTAAAATTTATAACGACCTAAGGGAGACTACTGCAATTTCCTTCAAGACAATATTGCGTCGTGGTTGTAATTTATCAGGTTTTCCATTATTTCCAAGAAAAAACACGAACTTTATTGACGAATATGTTGGTCTGAAGATAGAAATAAACCAAATTTGTGTATTGAATACTTTCACGCTTTTGTTAGATGATGCGAAAAGGAATTTATTGAAGCTGTTTTCAGAATTGTAAGACCTTTTCGAATCTTTCAGTTTCCCTTTTAAATCTGTTGACCACATATGTTTTTGTTGTAACTGGTGTAACACGATGCTCTCCCCTCTTGACAGTGCCATTCCTGCATGTCTATTTATCATATTAATTTGTCACAATCTATGAGGTGTTCAAAGTCTGCTTTCCTATATTATATATATATATACCCGATCGCTGACGGACAATATTTAACAAATAGGGTGCTAAAAGCTCTTTGATTAGGGTCACTTATCATAATTTTTCCTACTGATTAGTGTGTCATGTGAATATATTAGCACTACATAGGTTCTTAATTTGCAAACAAAAAACAAAACAAAAAAATGAAGTAAAACCAGATTTACATAGTTTTTGCCTTAACACCTCCAGCATGGTGATTTCTTTTAAAGAACTTCAAGACTCTTTACGTTTCCCCTTTCATTTCTTTGGTCCTGATTTCTTAATGTTTAAGTTAAGTACGATGACTCCACTAGTGACTTCTCCGTTTCTGTTTTCATGGCATGTTTATATCTATTCGATTATGAGTTGGCATTGTTTAACCCTTAAGGGATATAAACTACATCATCGATTGATATGTGGTAGTAGTTCAGAAGTACTCTATGTAAGATACATTAGAATGTTTCCGGATGTACGAGCTACAATCTTTTATAAATATACTGGTACATTTCATCATATTCTGCATGTTTCGTTTATGCCTTTAATTCACACAGATGTTTCTGCTTTTGATGTGTACATGTTTTATGGTAAAGGAAGTATTAACGTCAGATTTACACATGTTTTTACCATCAGCAAAATTACTGTCGCCAACGTACTGCATGTTCAGATTTGAAGTTTAAATTACCTGGATCAATGTAATCTTTTCCTGGAGGTTTCGGTACAAAATTGTCATTTTCCCACAGGTAGAAACTACTGAAATGCTTCCTTCCAGTTTCCTGATTACCTACTAATTAAGTAAAACACAATGAGAAGTCAATGATCTTTCAGCATTATTTCAAACCTTCAGGATGATATATTTTTTCATAGTATATTCTTTCATTATATAAATCCGCTTTGCAGATTAATTCAGAGTTTACCATTTATACATCTGATTGGAATTTAGAAAGCACAGCCCGATATTTAAACTACTTGAGGTAATGACTCCTAAAATATAAAATGAAAAATTTCAGAAATCCACAGTATGATAATTTTGTTTTCCTGGAGACATGAAAAGAAAAGAATCTACGAATATGGTTTAGCCATAGGTTTAATCCATTATGGTATTTTGATAAGTGAGACAATGATAGCTTGCGTAAACGTCTGTAAGATGTTTAAAATCTATCTGTAGTAAGGTTAGATTATGATCATCGTTTCAGTGTTGAAGTATGCATTGTAACATCTTATTAAATTATGGAATTCATATAAAGTAAATTGGTAGATATTAATAATTCAACGTTCGTGATATAGTGTCAATCAGTCAACATAGTTAAAATTATGTCATTAATTTTATGAGACAATAAGTCAATTTGTGATTAAATAACGCCGATAAGTCAAAATTGTATTTCAGTTAACTCAAAGTAATTGACATTAAAAGAATAATTGACCATTTAAGATAGATATTCATGTTTTTCTTTGAAACTATGTAAATAGCATCACTGACGTACCATTGCCCTCACAGGATGGCATGAAACAAACCATGGACTCCACTTCTTTACATGCCACGCCACATTTCCGATTTCTTTCTTTCTGTCCGACTCCACACGTTGTGCTGCATGGCCCCCATTCCGACCAGCTCCACTTGCCAACACCTAAAGTACCAAGAAGATACGAACCGAGAGTGAGGAAAATATTCACGATTTTAATTCACGATCTTAAACAGTTGCCAAGCGTAGCGTAAACTTGTACAATAATTGTTTTATTTAGCTTAATGTTTGTTTCGATGTCATATTTATCCATGCTTTTATTTCATCCAACAAATTTATTAAATTATAGCATGTGTTTGTATGAACAAACCTCACAATTGCTTTTGATAGATCATATTGAGCATTTTCCGCGGTCGCTTCCTAAGTTAGACCCTTAGTATCAGAAATCCTAGAAGGACGGAACAGCTGTAAGTGCATTTTCATTAGTATTTTGTCTTATTCAAAATTTGTATTGAAATACGCAATTTAATTGTCCTCTTGTATAATACTTTTAACAACACGTGCATGAATCATCACACGTGATGAACAGTATATAAATCTATTTAAAATATTTTGTTATCGTTATCAAGAAAAAATCACATTCATATATCAAGATAGGAATAAACACCTAGACAATATTTTGTCAAAATCATAACTATTTTTATTCTTCATTATTAGATGTTAAGAGGTGTTAATATGATATCTTAAAACATTAATGAATACATGATTAAATCGTATTCCGTCATAACTATCAAACAGCCTCGGTGATAATACATTTCATTTTAAAATAGCTAGAATTATTTTATCTCACTTCAGGCGCCCTCTGTTGCAAATGATATCTTCCAGTGGTTTGTTAGCTATGTAACTATAACACCATGTTGCCCATTAGTCGACACGTTAAATGTAATAGCGTATATACCCACAAAGTCTATTATTTGGTAACTCACAGATCATATATACAATATGTTGATATATATTTCTCTTCTCTAATGTATTTTGACCTACGTATATATTTTTTTCTGAAAAAGAAACTTCATTTTCTTTCAGCAAAATGGTTTATCAAATTTATCCTTTACAAATTAGTTTCGTTATAGATGTATCAACTTTTATATTGCACAATGAGAAAGCATTATATCACGATTTGATCTGTAGCTATGAAATTTGTCTTTCAGCATTCCTAACATATCTCTCTTTCATTATGTTATATATTCCATCGTACAGATACAAAGCATGTAAATAAACACATCAAGAATTCAGGTCAATAGTTTTTACTATCGTATTTGCTTATATTTTTCATAACAATGAAAGAAAATAATTGCTTCCTCGAACCTCCAACATCAGGAAATGAAGCACGTAAAGGACTTCAAACTCAAATGTTTGTAAGCCGTGTATTTATCAAACTCGTTGGTCACATTTGGCCCGGTCCATATATCAATAACAACAGCAGTGCATTTTTTTCTCTTTTTCTGAACTTGTTCAAATTTCAATTTTAAGTGTTTGTCAGGTGCTCGTTTTCTTAAGAGTTTCAGGAATTTTTATTGGTATTTATCCTTGGCTCATATCTTACTAGATTCTTAGTGGCATACACCATCATAATATTTAGGTTTTCATGGGATATTGCCTCGACATGGAAACCAGAGCCCCGCTTTAAAACTACAAACATTTCTTTTCTCCAATGGGGTGCTTATTTCTTTTGTGTGATAACTTATTGTGTAAAGCAAGAATGTTGCAATGCATAAAAGTCGAAAATGATTTGACAACCAGATAGTAACAGTTATACGTCAACAAAATTTGATATAAAACGACTTCTGCAACAGAAAACTGAATGTTAGGGGGGAAAGTTGAAAATACATATGATATATATCGTAACAAAGTCAAGTATTGAGGTGAGCAATGCAGGAATTTGGTCTAATCTTTAGAGAAATGAAGTTCATGTTTGATAAATTTATGTCTGTACCAGAGTGTAGAAATCTTAAATCCCTATAGGGAAAAGAGACATACTCTCAAAATCCTTTCCTTCTCGTGCCTCATAAAAATGCTGTGTTGACCGCATGCATCCGATCAGGTTTTCATAACAAAATACTACATATAACCGACTATGCACTTTGAAATTAAAAACAGTCGAATTATGCGCCAAAATGCCAGAAGATACATTAACAAAATTACATTATTTAAGTAATGGCCTCATTAACTTTACAATATTGGATATTTTGTAATCCATGTTATATCTGTGATGATTCTTCACATGTTTTTCATCATTATCACTCACTCTTCGGTATCATTTACTCTACAGAATATTCATGTGTGTCACTCATTTTATAGAGTTTTCATCTGCATCACCCACTCTATAGAATTTTCATCTGTCTCATTAATTTTATAGAGTTTTAATCTATATCACTCACTCTTAGAACTTTCATCTGCAACATTTACTCTATACAATATTCATGTGTGTCACACTGTTGAGTACTCATCTATGCCACTCACTCTGAAGAGCTTTCATCTGTGCCATTTACTCTATAGAATATGCATGTGTGTCACACGGTTGAGTACTCGTCTATGCCACTCACTCTGAAGAGCTTTCATCTGTGCCATTTACTCTATAGAATATGCATGTGTGTCACACTGTTGAGTACTCGTCTATGCCACTCACTCTGAAGAGCTTTCATCTGTGCCATTTACTCTATAGAATATGCATGTGTGTCACACGGTTGAGTACTCGTCTATGCCACTCACTCTGTAGAGCTTTCATCTGTGTCATTATCTATAAAGCTTTTATTTGTTCACTTAAAAAACTTTGTAAAGTTCTCTTCTATATCGCTCTATTGAGCTTTCGTCTGTTTCGCTCACTCTAGAGTTTTCGTCTATATGCCTTAAAAAGTCGCCGTGGTATTTACATTAAAACAGATTAAACATCTAAATCTAGTGGATAACCGAATATCCTAAACGATTACATGTACATGTTTGGAAGAAAACATTAAGGGTAACTTCACACGAGTCTACTTGTAAATGTATGTTATGTGTTGTGCTTATGAATCAAGGGATAATCAATTATTACAAAAAGGATTAATTTTGAAGGGTGTGTAGATACTTTATGGTACGGTTCGCCATGTAAGTTTTGCCTGCCCTAAGTATTCCTATGACCAAACAATATGTTCAGTTTCGATTCTAATTGTGTATTCGGCATGTTTACCATCATGAAAATGACATGCTAGTGTGTTTGTCGTGATATTATGATATGAAGGTTCTTCTATTCACAACATCTAGCACACAAAGATGAGTTAACCCAATGAAATGTTGCTATGCAGGCCTCGACATCAATCATTTAACCTCAACAAGCTAGTGCCCCTCCTTTTCACGATTAAGTTTCGTTTTCAGGTTTACATTTATGCTAACGGTGTTGATGTGTCCAATATATTACAGAGGCAAAGATTAAAAAAAGAAAATTTAAGCAAACGTTTACAAACAATTTGCTTTTTGCCACAGACGTGGCCAAACACGAACGCTATATTTAAAACTGTTGATGAAAGATAATGAATTCACAGGAAGGAAACAGATAGCACGGATTGATATATGAATAACAAAAAAAAAACAGAAAGAAATAGTGTAAGACAAATGTAAATCTTACCTATGATATGCTTGTATACTATTCAACACATCTACTTCACAAGTCATGTTTTGTGATATTTCATCGTTATGTTGTCTTTTATTCTTTATTACTGTCACTAAGTAACAAATATTTGTCTACTCGCTTTTCTTACATTTACTAATGCTATTGCTTTCGACAACATTTGCTTTAACTCTGGAGAGCGTTTTCCACCGATCGGTGCTGCCACCTGTTGGTGATATAAGATTGTCTTATTAGTGATGGTGATATTGGTGCTGCGTCGATACCTGTCTAATGTTAATGAGTTGTGGCAGGCTCTGGTCATGATAGACAGCTCGGACGTGTAACCTGCCTTCATTAGTCTACTGTCGACAAATACCTTACATCCTCAATACTCAAACTCTGTACTTTACACAAGGGAACTATCTGCGGTATGTTTTAGAGGGAAGCATAGTGTGTGTACTTTATTAACAGGTTCACTTATAAGAAACATTCCTGGAAATATTGTTAAATGATGGAATGTATCAACGGTCAAAGTTACAAATTGTATGATACAGCTATGGTAGGTATTTTTGTAAGAACTACCAAAGATTGATAAATAGGTCACAGTTCAATAAAACATAATATCAGTATGAATGTATTTTTAGACTCAAAGCTTTCAGGATCCTTGAGTTTCAATAAAAATAGACACGATATCTCTTCCTTATGAAAATAGAGAAAATGATAGTGTGTATGAAACTAAAGTACAGCCGGTAGTTGGAGGTATTACTAAAACTATGATGAAGCCTATGTATAGCAATAAAAGGTGATATGGTTGAAGCCAATCAATTTGATTTACTGTCAATAAAAATTATTTGTATGAACGAACTTAAAATGATGCGTGTTTTCTAGTAACAGGAACAAAACATTAACTTCTTCATCAATGATTAGCCAATATTATAATAATGGACTGCTATATTTCATTTTTATTTCCTTAGTACTTTTGATAATGCTCTTCGGAACTATTGCATACTAAATTCTTGAACTAATTCGATTCGCCTTTTCGTTCGTTCATTCAATTCAAGCTCATTTGCACTTTCTTCTCATCTTACCTCGATTTTTACCACCAGAGGCTGGTATCTTCCGTCTTCCATTTTTGTTGTTTTTCCTTATGGAATGTTGAGGTTTGTCAATAACACTATTATCCCCTACACTTAGTGTCACTTGAGGAGCTCCATTACCTTTATGAGTGTTCCAGTTACCTCCCTTAGCAAGCTCTTCTTTTGCTACTGTTTCTATGATATGTCGAATTGTCGTTGGTTCTAACACATTGTCAAAATTAATTTTCTTTTGTTTTCTTCTGGATTTTCTCCGCTTTGTATTTTTATTTTTATTTCTGTTTCTTCTATTTTTATTCCTCTCTGATTTGGAATCTGGTGCTACAATTGTGCTATGTTCTTTATCTAAAGCATTCGGGTTAGGTGCATCCTTTCGTCCATTTTTAAACTTTTGTTTGCGTCGACGTTTGAATGGATATTTTGTACCCGTGTGTGGATTATTAAATTGATGAACTGTTCTCTCATAAAAATCTGTGAAGTTTGTGAAGCTTTCGTCTTTTCTTCCAGTAGAATTTGCCTCTTCATTCTGCAACATAAATTTGACATTGAACTTCACCAATCGGTGCATTGCATTGCATTCTGAAATAAATACTTTTGATTTTGAAATTTTCCAGTCAATCACAACTTGCGTTTCGTATTTCTATTTTGTCCATGCTACTACAGCTGCTTTAGTATATTTTATTGATTTAAAATGGCGCTTAGAGTCATAAAATGCTTCATTTACTTATAATACACATAACTTCGGTTTGAAGACAAGTACGAGGTAATGGTATGTACAACAATAGTGTTAAAACAGTACAGGAACAAGATGCAACATCTTGCCATATGCTTCTTTGTTGAAGGACCATTTTCATTTCTTGAAGACTGATTTCGATGAAAGAAAGATAATATCTACATAACCCATATAAAATGCGCTGTGTGAAGAACTATTTGAGATTGAAACGTCATATATTTAAGTCATATTATCAATATATCTTCAATATCTTTTATTAAATTGTTAGTATAAAAAGATAGCAACTCGGTGGTGAAAAAATTATGATATTCAATATTCCCTGACCATTCAAAAACGGTATCGGTCATTAGCTGTATAAAATCACGTTAAGGTGTCTTTCATAGCGGCAGACTATGGAGCCACATAGGAGAGGGAAACTTATTAGCTGTGTTTGAAACGTTTCCGAATGAAAACTGTGATTAAAGAATTAACACATTTCTACAGAGCAAATACTTGTATATACAACTGATGAAGATACACCAGACATGCACAATTTTAATTACCATATCACGTGTTTCACGTGAAACCTTCACTTTCATATTTGTTTTTAAACCATTCACTACTCCATTCCTCTTTGATTGATTGTAATCGAGTTCATTATTTGAAACATAAAACAACATTATGACAATGTGTATTTACCCGCATCAAAAACCCATTTAGAAGGATGATAATTGAATTTGTTAAAAGAGAATATAATATCATCTAATGACTTTGAAAACACGTTTTAAGAAGCCATATGGATCAGTGCATTCGTTCTCTGCGTATGATAAAGAGTACAGTATAACCACGTGATGCTTGATAATGATAGTCGTTACAACATTTGTATTAGAGAATCACATCTATTTGCATTCATGTTTAATTTGCAAAGATCCGTATGTAATGAGGAACGGAATAATAGGATACTATACGATTTCGTTCGAAAGAAACTCGGGTATAGATAGATTCTTCACATATAAACAACTCTTAGATAAAAAATTCTTTTCTTATTATTAAGAAATACGATGAAATGTATTGCAACGCAGGAAGTTAATGTATGAATTTACAAATATATTTATGTATATATCATACAGTATAATTATATGTATTCTGGACAACAGTATCCATCGTGTGGGTTCATTCTATTATCGAGGCCTAACACATAAATGGTTTTATGGATGGGTTATCGAGAAACATGAACATTTGTAGTTTTATACTCGGCACAAGGTGAGAGATGACGCGTACGTTTGGCTTCAAGCTGTGTTCACTGAATGACCCTCCCACCCAAATCTGCACGTGCGTTCAACTCACGCGCATGCAATGGCTTTACCAGAAACATAAGCACAAAGGGTGATGATTGATAGGCCTCAATCCAACATATTGGTCATGTTTAGTGACTTTGTGGCCATTTCGTTCCAGTTAAAGACACGTTTCAAGATAATTATTTCTAAACTGTTTTGACAGCACTGTTACAACCAAGTGATAATAATATCATTGGAATATTGGCTAGGAGAGATGTTAGCACGAATTATGACAGTCTATATTAGTTCACAACAAAAGCTTTAAGCATGGACTATAACATTCTATATCAGTTCACCTCATCACAGATTGTTATATTTCATATAATACACAATACATGTACAACACGTCAATAGATACTATAAAGAATTTTAACAACTGATAAAAGGAAAGTTTCTCTATATTAAACATCTTGGTGATGCTAGGTTGAAATCTGGAACACCATCATTTCACTTCAGAAATTCGCAGGTGTTTTAGTATGCTTATCAATCACTGTAGGTAATAAATGACCCTTATTTAATCAAAAGACTCGCCACATTGATGTAGGTTGTCGTTGGCAGCCATCAGACGCATTGCTTGTTGTACCTCATTTGAAGTAGCGCGCTCTTGGCACCTATTTCGATGTCGCGCATTCTCGAGAAATCTCGTTAAATGTGCGGTGCAATATCAGGTTCCTTATGTACTATTGGAATACAAAATAAACATGTTCTGTCGCGGGTTCTCAGAGAAGTTCTTTAACTGCTTTGCCTTGTACACACGTAAATGATTAGAATGATTTTTTTAAAAATATGTTCATATACTTCTTTCAATATGACATTCGATGTCAAATTGCAGGTTATCCATATTGGAATGTATGCTTTATTTAAACTAGGCTTTCCCTTTATCTTTGAAGTTTTCTTTACATTTAACGTTTTATGGATGCTGCACCTGTCCTTTCTTGTTTGTTTGTAAACGTTTAAATTCTTTGAACCTGCGAACTTTTTTATTGTGTGAAATACGATACAAGATTTCTAGTCCATTCATTCAGACTCTTGCTCTTCTATATTATTTTGTATTTTTCAGTCCGATTTCATCGTTTTAGCCGAAAGAGTAGACAAAATGAAATTACACTAATCGTGCTAGCTTGTTCAAACTATCACTTTTTCCATAGTGTTAGAGAGAATGTAAAGATAATGTTACACTCCCTCCGTGTCGATGTTACATAGATATCATGAAACCGTAATATGATTTCGAAAACTCAAGAACAATCGACTATTAATAAACGAGTTTATTCATTTCCATATTTAATTAGAATTTATACACCTAAGCATCTGGATTGCGTGATATTCATTTATCATATTGTACATTCATTCAGTGAAATAAGATACCGAAATACATCGTAACGTTTTTAACTTGGGTTACGAGTATGTGCGGTTCATTTTATATGGATGTCAGAAGAGCCGATTAAGAAAAGTTAAAGAATTAAATCATTTGTCTGAAATAGAATAAGTGATTAGGGAAAACAGCAAACAGATTTTTATCATAAGTAATATCGATTTAATTGTCATATCAAATGAAATTATGAAATTTACTGACATGTTTGTAATAATCGGCATAATATCAAAACTGGGGACATGATCATAGAATCTTAAGAGACTATATAAAATACAGTTGTCACATACATACAGTAAACAATGCCGTAGATGTACATTTCTAAAATGATACTTCTACCAGTGACGAAACATTGAATGCCTTCGAGACTAGCAATTAACCTCTTCATCCGTGGATATGTTGATAGTGATAACGATTCGTATTGTGAACCACGTTATATTTGAAGTCAGAGTTTTAAACAGGAGAATATTGTGTTTAAAATGTTATTTTTTGAAATATTGGGGTTATGGGTTGAAAACATTAACATTAGCTGATGGGAAATAAGGAACTATAGGTACATTAACAATATTTATCTTCTGTGTAAATATACGTAATTATGTATCAATTAAAGCGTGGTAATGCAGCCCTAATACAAATGGATTTATATGATAAATGTTCCCATGTGCTCCAAGCAAAATTTCAACACTTGGATCTTATGAGGAAAATGGCACCATAAGAATGCTAATTCAGTATGTTTCAAAGTTGCGTTTTTAATACATCGACGTACCAATGGACGAAGACCAATCTATTGCACCTATAAATTTGTTTCGTGGAATTATTACTGTGTTTACATATGGTAGAGGTTGCACAAAAGGCACATAAGGGGCGCAGAGAGCGAAAGTGATCGTAACTCCTGGAGTATCGAGGATGTCACTGATGCAGTGATGCATGTATACAGGCCATAATTTTTTAATCCTATGAGGCGGTTGATGAAAATAAAAAGTGATGTATAATTAAATTTATATATACATGAGCAGGCAGAATTAACAGGCTCCTGTTTTCTTGCTTCTTTCAAGATAACAGGTACACACGCGATTGCTTCTCAATTTCTCCAATTTGCAAATCGGATAATCGAATTTTAATTCAGAGGAAATGCTTCAAGCATCCGCAAACAACGCGTCAGCTGCAACATACACTGCTCTACTGATAAATTGTTTTGATTTGTTTATACAATAAACATCTCTATACAATAAACTCATGATAAAATTTAACTTTTCTTGTATTTTCTTTAAAAATTGTCTAAAAATGTGGGAAGGAATTGATGGATTACAACATCAAACATGTTACAATAAGCATTATTCTTTTGGGAAATGTAATGTAGCATGTGTAGAGGAGAGTAATGATAATTCCGTCACTGAAGAGTGCGCTATAAATCAGACAGGAATGGACAACATGAAGTACACGATGTAAACGACCAGTGATGTACTATCCAGACCTTGGTAACAAGTGGCTGAGTGATGTACCGGCGAAGCGTGCCACTTCTCTCTTATAGCTGTAAACACAATGAGCGTTACTCATCACGGTAAGTATAATCAAGATATACACACTTGGCCGTGTGGTGTTTTTATGACAGGAATTTTGTAAATATTTATATTTTATCCCATGTCCTGGTAAAACTCCCTTTAAAGCTGTATTGTGTACTGTGATGGCTCCGATTTCTGATACGGGTCCACCTGACCGATACATAAAGACACAAAAATGCAGTCTATTTGGCTAACATGAACCAACCATCACGCACTGCACTTGCCAAATGATACACTAAACGTACTTGACCAGAGATGAAATCAAAACTAAGCCTTCTACTTCCAGGAGGGCATTCCTATTTCACCCCTTATGATCATCTTAATCTAGTAATTCAGTTATTGTTTCACAAATTGCAATCATATGTGACCAATATACACACACAAATAGATATGATGTTTAGTTACTATAATATTATTTTCAGCACGTGTATTATCATATGTAACATTATGAAAATGCTACCAAATCACATGACGTTTTTGGTGATCATTTTGACTTAATGCAAAAATACATTTGTAAATAAAAAATGACAGCATTTCGAATAAAGT